TTGAATAGAGACTTTAAAACAGTAAATAACAAGTAACACCAGTGACGAAGTCACTGTCATAAAGCATTCATCTAGTTGATAAATACTTTTTGAACTTAAATTATTCGCGAAAGTTTCAAGCCAAATTATTCAAATTATTGTCAATGAAATTTTGATTATTTTAAAGATTGCATTGCTATTTTCAAAAAAAATTTCCCGAATAGCCAACTTACGTTAATTAATAGTTAAACCCTGGGTAGTACGGGTATAACGAAGTAAAATCGAGCTTAAGCTTGTATTATCCCAGTGGTTTAACTGATTTATCCCCCACCATTTATGCCATTTTTACAAGAAGATTTGTTGAGTGGTTAATAACAAATTAATTTATTCTTTTCTAAAATTTATATATTTCATCTCGCCTTACAAAATATTACACTACTCCACTATTATCATTACTGTTATTAAAAAACTAATACACATTCTAATAAAAATGGTAATTTTTAATATTTAAAAATGGGGAATTTTTTTTTTAATTTAGTAATATATATTTTATATTTATTATAGGAACCTAAGTTTCATCACTAGGAGTTAGTTATTAACACATTTTCAGAACCAAACTATACAGACAACATCACTCACATTTGTCATCTTTTTTTGAGTCTAAAAAAATTCAATTCGCGTCTGTCCCAAAAATCAATCTTGTACAACACTAAGTGCCAATAATAATTATTTAAACGCGTCAATCTCATCTTTTTTCTTTTTTTTTTTTTAGAAAATAATAGCAAAAAGCAAAGAGAGAAAACGAACAAGATCCGAATTAAAGAAATAGGCAAGTGTTATTTATCAAAAAGAATGGTGATTATCGCCACTTGTCGTCATTCTAGTTTATTAAAAAGAATGGCGATGGTGGTGGTTGCACGTCGTCATTCTAGTTATATTATAAATATGGTCACTTGAGCCTTAAGGATCTTGATGTATTTGGATATACTGTACAAGGTAATTTTAATTTATTTGCAATATTACATTATATCTCAAATAGTAATATGTTTTTACTTTAAATATTCAATTCCATTATTCATCATTCTTTCACAATTCAAATTATATCTATTGATAAACCAGGCAGTGCAGTATATAGGATAAAAATTACTGACACTGTAACGATGTCTGTGATGAGGAATCAGATAGTAAATACTATGGAGCTAATGGTAAATTATTATATAAGAACTATATGATTTCCCCCCTCCCTCAAAATAATATTTTTAAAATTTTATTTTTATTAATAAAATTTAATACGGAATAAGACGTTTTTCTAGGTTGATTTTAGATTTAGATAAAATTTAGAGAGGCAAAAAAAAAAGAGAATTTCACCGTGGACTTTTCCTTCTCCTTTACTTATTATTTAGAAAATTCTTTTAATTAATATATTCATATACTTTCTCTTTTTGCTAAAGCTTTTTTTTTCTTACAAAATGATTTTATTTTTCAATCATGCCTTTGGTAAATTTGATAGCAAATAAAATAAACCAAAATATGAATCATATCTTGGACCTGTAAAAAGTAATTATTATTAGTTCTTTTGTGATTGTATTTAATCTCGAATACTTTCCAGTAATTGGTGTATGGTTTGAATATGGTTTAAAAAAAATCAATTGTTTCGAAAATTTTTATATTAACGGTTTTGTTAATAGCAATTATCCCCGTGTGACATCATTTATACCATTTTTCAGCTAGACTATTTTTTATTATCTGTTTCAGTAGTAACTGGATGGGTTTCGCTTGTAACATTTATTGATTTTAAATCATTATCTGAAATATCTGGAAGAGGAAGTTTAG